GGGGGGGCGCTGCTGTTTGTGTTGGGTGGGAGGCTTATTCTTGCCTCTCTCTGTCTGGTTGTCCTCTTTCCCTCCCGAGAGACCCACAGACAAGGGCCGGAGACGTGTGTGAACGCATACGCGCCGAGATTGGGCACGTTGGAGGCTCTCCTTGCCAGGAGGCAGGTGACCTAGCTGAGCGGTGTCTGTTGCTGTTGAACAGCTAAAGCCGTCTCCTGAGGCCGTGAACACAGTGAGCCATGAGTCACTCTCCCGTCGTCCCATCCTGCAGGGCCCTGGCCGGCCAGTGGCAGCCAGTGAGCGTGTCCTTCCAGACCACCAGCGCTGGTTTCTGTGCAGCACCGCGAATTCTGATTGTGGCTGGTCCTCCTCTGAGACTCCTCAGCCAGTGCTTTTCTACTGGGGCTTGACTAGCAGTCCTCTGTTCCTCCTCATTAAGGACTCCCACTTCGCGATGGGGAAGTAGATAGCGGCCATTTGCGGAGCTCGTCCTATTGACGTGCCGGTCCATCCGTTACATGTGTTACTTCTGTTTTCCACGCTAATCCTGTCAGGGAGTTAGTAGCATAGTTACTCTATGGATAAGGAAACCGAGACTTGGGATTTACAGACCTCAAGGTAGCTCACATATCAGTCGGATTTGACCTCAGGGAGTTGAGGGGATTACGCAGGGTCGGGTGAAAAGGGGAAAAACATGAGTTTGTCTTCTCAGCCATTGCTTAGGGTTGGACATCCCGCCCTGAACCAGGTCAGCCCAGACGCCTTCCAGCATTTCTGTCAGACTTCACTTTCAAAGCGTGGTCGGTACTGTTCCTCCCGCACACAAGGGGCGCGAGCTGGTGTATCCTTACTTGCTAAGGGAGTCACAGCTGGGGACGGTCGTAGAAAGTTCCCGACGGCCAGGCCTAGAAGCCCAGGTTGTCCCAGACGCCGGTCAGAAGCTGTGATTCTGACATGTTTGCGTTCCTTCCGAGCTGCCCTTGAACCAGCTCGCTGAGCACTCCCACGTGCCAGACCCGGCACTGCTGCCCCTGTGCACGGGTGCTTGTCTCCCTGTCACGGGAGGAGGCGGGGGCTCCGGGAGCCCGTGCACGGGTCGGAGGTCCCACACACCCCGCGGCAGAGGCGGCCCTGTGCCCCAGCCTGGTGTGCCCGGCCCGCACCCAGCCGCCTTACCGACGTTGCCGGGCCTTATTTCTACGGCCCCCGCCCCAAGGGTCAGCGTAACAGGGCAGGCCTCCCCTCCGCCCTCGGTGCAGCAGACTCCTGGGGAGCTCTCTGGAGATGGGCTTTCTCGGAGGTGGTTTCCTGGGGGGGTGGGGCCGGGCAGTGAGGCTGGGCAGGCTGAGCTCCCGGAGTGGTGGGGGGAGGGGAGGGGCAGACGCCCGGCGACACTGCACCCGTCCGAGTGGGGCATCGGGTGGGTGGATGCCGGCTGGCGTGCGGGGCCCTCCGCAAGGGCAGCGGCCGAGACCTTCTGCTCCTGGGGAAGGGGCAGCTCTTCAGAAGCCTGACAGGGAGGCTTTTGTATCCGGCAGAAGTTAACCTGATGTCTTCTTTGTTTCAGACCGAGAGGACCAGTCCATTCTGTGCACGTAAGTGTTTCTGCCCGGGTGGCGGGGCCTCGTGTCACCCCCTGGCTTGTCCTTGCTGTGCGGACTCCTGCCGAGACCCAGGCTGCTGAGCTCTGCTCCCAGTCGGGCCCCTGCCCTTTCCCCATGGGATGGACCTCCAGGCCCCAGGTTAGCCGCTCAGCAGTCCCGTGGCACAGATAAGCTTAGTTTCGGGGCCAGACGTGGACTCCCCTTCCGCTTCCTCGTACCGTGCGGGGAGGTCCGTAGCAGAGAGAAACAGGAATCTTCTCCACAGAGCACAGTTGGGAACTGGTGGGTGCCTCCAGAGCACATTCCTTCTAGCTCTGAACGGTGGCTTTCTTTACCTGCTTTGAAGCAGACACCGGGGCTGCTCGCCCTGGCCCCCGGCACTTACTGAGGAGATAAATAAACCCCACTGTGGGGGGAGTTGATGGTACAGAGCATTCCTTCAAGTGGTTTCGAAGGGACACGTGTAAGTGCCTTTGGCCCATGAGACAACAGCTGCCCAGAGCCGATCCTGAGACTTTGTGACAGCAAGCCTCCCAGGTTCCCAGGCCGGGCAGCGGGTCCGGGTGGTCTGCTGTCGGGCCTCCCGAGGCCCATGGGAAGCGGCCGGAGTGAGGATTCCAGAACTCAGCATTTATTCGCCTGTTCCCCCTCCTGCCGCAAGGGGTTGGGTCCCTCACTGACACCTAGCGGAACGGGAGGCGGTGGCCCGGGTGCGTTGCGCTTCAAGGCTTTGGCCGCGTCCCCCCTGAGAACTTTCTTGGCTCTCTTGGCAGGGGTGAGTCTGGAGCCGGCAAGACGGAGAACACCAAGAAAGTCATTCAGTACCTGGCTCACGTGGCCTCCTCACACAAGAGCAAGAAGGACCAGGTGAGCGCGGGCCTTCCTCCCTGAGGAAGAGCATCTCACGATTCGTAGTTCGGAGCGTTTGGGGGATCGAAGCAGAGGCCGGACCCTCTTTCCCGGGAGGCGGCAGCTCGGCCGTCTGGGGAGCGGGTCCGGTGGTAGCCAGCCCCCTTCTCCCCCGGCCTCCTAACTTTCTGAGTGGCTGTGGACACTGGAGACCCCCAGGCTTTGCGAAGCGGCGCTCCTGGCGTTTACGGCTAATTAGAGATTCCCAAACTCGGTTCTCAAGTTGTCGGAGACTTGGAGCCTCTCTGGCAGGCCAGCTTTTGAGCCCCTGCCTCCTCACCCTGCTGTTGAAATGCCTCTGGGTGGACGGTCCCCCAGTGAAGAGAGAAAGGGCAACTAGAAAGTCATCTCACTTCCCTTTTTCTCCCCCTCCCTCTTGATGGATTATGGTCGAACCCAGCAGTGTCCTCACTAGGTGAGCTTGCACGTTTACTGCACGTTCTGCACCAGGAATGCGTGTTCTGCCCATCGTGTGCCCTTGATTTATGTCTTTTCTCCTGAGCAGCTTTTCACTCCACACCGTTGTCACCTTCTGCGGCTAGACCTGTCCTCGTAGGCTCGGCTCACTGACTGTCTTGGGAGGAGGGGCTGGGTGTGACACGCGGTGACCTCTCGTGCACTCTGAAATGACAGCCCCCGCAGAGCGGGTACGGGCCCCATCGCCGGAGCCGTTCTCGGAAACTCTGGTCGTGCCCAGAGCTCCCTGTGCCCACGGCAGCTGTAAGGCCCCGGTGCAGAACCCCGACCGAGGTCCGGCGGAATGGGAATCTGCTGTCCCGGAGCCCCACGTGCTCGGTGTCTGGACCAGATGGGTGTGTACGCGCGTCCCCTCCCTCTCCCTCTCCTCACCCCACCTGCCAGCACTGTGCCAGTCAGAAGCAGCACCCGGAAGGCCCCACACTGGAGTGTCCCAGGGTTGGGGATGATCAGTCCTAAGCATGCCCGGGTGGTGCTCTCTCGCCTTTCTCTTAAGCACACACTCTTAGGCTTCCTTGTGAATTCCAAGTGCCCGTGGTGTCCCCTCAAGCCATCAGGGGGGACTGCGCCGTCTCTCCGTGGCTGCCCCTTGCCCCACGGGGGGCTCACGGGGAGCCGTGAGCAGCGTGTGGAAGTAAGTAGCGGTGTGTGTCTGTTGCATGCAGACCTGGGGTGTGTCCTGAATGTCCTAATGGGTACAGTCTTCTGGAATCGAACCAAAAGTAACTTTTCATGTGCCAAACTGCTCAAGACATTCTAAATCTTTTTCCGTGGGGCGTCAGGAGTTATATTTAGAAACTAATAAAGTTTCTCTTGCTCCCTGTCTCCAACCCCCATTTTCCATTCTCTTTAGGAGGCCTATTTCAAAAACAGAGCCGCGAGGCTAGGAATCCTCTAGCTGTGGTTTTCCGTCTCTGAATTTGCCATAAAATCCATTTCCCAACTATTCATTGAATGTCTAGTATGTGCCTGGGTCTCTGGAGGGTGACCTTGGAGTCCCTGCCCTGGAGGATGGGGGATAGGACCGCAGTTACAGAGTCAGAACATAGACGCGTGGGGCTTGTGTCTGGGACTCCAGCTGCAGAGGGGGGACGGCAGGCCCTGGGCGCCCCGCTCGGAGGAGACGGCCTGCTGGAGGGAGGGGTGATGAGGGGGAACAAACTTGTCACATCCTATGTCTCCAGTCACAGTGTGTGACAGACCACTCTGTCCCCAAGTGGAGAGATTGAATAGGTTGCCTCTGGCTTCCGATTACTGCTCAGGCCCTCAGTTGTAAAGGCCGCTGACAGTTTAGTGGAATTCCTTGCCTAAAGCTGTACAGTGATTTTCCACACACAGCTGGGGCACGAGACACTTGAACTTGGTTTATGGCTCTCGTATTCTGGAGCCTGTCACGGCACACTCTGGGCGACAGCTCTCCCTTGCAGTGACCCAGATGCTTCTCCCAAGGCTGCCCACCGGAGCGCCCCGACCTCACGAAGCCCACGGGAGGGCCGGGCTCCGGCCGGGGCTGCTGGTTGGCGAGGCACAGCGTGGGGGCGTGGGGGGGGGTGGGGGGGGCAGGGACTTTCCAGGTAGACTTCCCTAGGCTGAGCCGTGATCTTCGGCCGTCTTCCTCTTCCTCCCTCTGTTGTTTATATACTAGTTGGAGACCACTGGCAGAAACACCAGCCAGTGAAGCCCTTCAGAAACTGGATGGGTTAATTCTAGACCTAGAGCATATGTTACCGACAGAACCTCATAAGGTCATGGTCACGTGCAGATTTTATTGAGAAATAAAGGTCTCTTCCGTGCCCGGCTATGGGTCAATAAGGAAAAACCCATAGGTTAGCCACCACCATTGTCTGCACGGAGTTCGGCTCCGGAATCTGAAGTGGCTGCCCCCTAGTTGGCCGAGTGGGCCCACGTGCCACGGCAGCAGCGTGTGGTCCCACAACAGAGACCTTAGCGAGGCTCCCAAGCCAGGGCAGGCGGCAGGCTCTGGTGGGGACCGTGGTCCCATCGGTCTGCGGAAACAGGAGCGGGAGTGGCCCAGCCAGCCTAGTGGCCCGGCCCGTGCTCTGCGAGGAGCGTCTTAGTGGGTGGGGGAGCGGCGCTCCTCCAAATTGGACCCCGTGGTCTGCCTCCGCTGACTTCGCAGGCTCGCGCGAGCCCTGTGGGCAGGGGCCCGGTGTCCCGCGACGGCTGGTGCCAAGCACACATGTTCAGCCCGTGCGGTGGATTTGATCCCTGCTCCTCAGCGTGGCTCCACTGACCCTCCTTCACTTAATCCGTGTGGTGTGAAAACCAAAGACTCCCTGGTGTCCGGTGGGGTGGGGGTGGGGGGGAGCCCTGGCCGAGGACGGGCTGCTGGAGTAGGAGAGTCTGCCCCGGTCCCTTCCAGCCCCTGGCTCAGTGCTCTGCAGACGAGTCTCGTCAGCAGCAGGTGCGCCTGGAAGGCTGAACCTCACGACTCTCCCGGGAGCTCCTGCTACTTCAAGTTTTCCTTTTCATCACTCACGGGCAGCCGTTCCCGTAAAATCCTGGCCGGAGTCCAGCCTTGCTAATAAATACAAAAGCCGGCCTGGCCCCTGTGTGATGTTCTTTCCCCCTAGAGAGATCCCAGGTATTAAGGGCCGAATTTTCCGCAGCCAGCGTCCGTTACTGCCTGGCCTGCTGGGAAGGTGATGGCTGCTTCCAAAATTGATCTAGGCTGGTGGGGTAGAGCCCCACGCAGGGCTGGGGGACAGGGCGGTGACTGGCACCTGTCGGAGAAGACGCGAGTTGGCGCCCGCTTTGCCGGTTGATAGCCGCATGACCTCGGGGCCACCCTGTTTTGCCTGTCCTGAGGATCCGGGGATAGGGAGGCTTAGGGTGTGTCAGCCACATGGGTGGCTTGGGACCACAAGTAGAGTTTATTGGTGTTGTCGATAAACAGTTTAGAACCCGTGGTGGGCCTCACTGATCCCCGGCTCACGCACTGGACACTCTGGAAGCACGTCTGTGGGGGTGGGTAGGTGGCGGGACAGGGTCCAGCAGGGAAAGTGCCGTGTCTATCAGGACACGGATGAAATGAGCTGGTGTCTTTTATGGAGCTGATTCCTTCTCGCCTTGTCCTGTGAAAAGGGAAAAAATGTTGTCGGGTATCGGGCAGAGAGGGCAGAGGGAAACCGTTGTTCCTTGGGGGGGAGGTGGGGGGCTCTGCGCAGGGGGAGAAATGGTGCTGCTTCCTGACGCGTCCTCCAGAGTCGAGCTGGGGGGAGCCACCCACCTTCCCTTCCTGGGGGTGCTGATCGGTCAGTCCGGCGACGTAAGTTCAACACCTGGCGGGAAGGTCGCTCCCGAGTGACACAGGGGCCAGGCTGCGATTGGCGTGGCCGGAACGCCCTCTGTTCCTGGCGCGCTGGGCGTGTAGGCACAGCTCTGCCACTGGCCCCCCTGCCTGGCGGAGCAGGTTCGACGACCTGAGCCACTGCCTGGCCTTCACCGCATCCCCGGGTTCCTTTCCAGGGCGAGTTGGAGCGACAGCTGCTGCAGGCCAACCCCATCCTGGAGGCCTTCGGGAACGCCAAGACTGTGAAGAACGACAACTCCTCCCGATTTGTGAGTAGTGGCCGGCCATGCCCAGCTCGCGGGGCTCAGGCTCCCACCCACGGCTTTGGCACACGTCGCCTTCCAGCTGCCGCTCTCACCTCTGAAAGTGAGGCAGCTTCGGACCTGGTTGCCTCCCGGCCTGTGGCGGGGAGTAGGCTGGGGTGAGCTCCAGCTGGTGGGGACCTGCACACGTGGCTGCTTCAGCCCAGGTGGCAGAGAACTGGGGGGGAAGGGGGGACAGCGGGGAGTTACCTGCTGGTCCCGCGCCTTGTCCTGTTGTAGCCAACAGCCAGATGGAGGACCGAGGAGCACTCCTGTGCCTTAGCGGATGAACTTGGGCATCTCTGGATCTTGTCCTGGCCCAGGCTTTAAGCAGCACAGCGCTGAGTCCTGAGTATCCATGCAGTGCACTGCACGGGCCCCTGGCCTCCGACATGGGCACAGTCTCTTGATTTTCCCCCTTCGGGCTATACCGCAGGAGCTAGAAACTGGAGGACCGGGCTTCTGATTCTCTTTATCTGTCTCTCCTTAGGGCAAATTCATTCGCATTAACTTTGATGTCAATGGCTACATCGTGGGAGCCAACATTGAGACTTGTATCCTTGGTCTGGAAACGAGACCTTGTCTGGAGGGACAAGACCTTGATGGAGAGGAGTCCTGGGCCTGGAGTCCCACGTCTAGAGGGGAGGGACAAGACTTTGATGGAGAGGAAGCTGCCTCCTGATTCCAGCAGCTTCCTCCTTACGGGCCTGTTAGGACACCTTACCTGTGGCTTCAGGAAGAGTACCTGGAGAAGCTCATGGAACACCCAACCCCGAGCTCAGGTTTTTCTTTACTGGCAGGACAGAGTTCTGCTTCGAAAGGGATGGGACGACAGAAGACCCTCCAGTGTGGTTCCCAGAGGGGCAGGGTTCGAGTGGATGCTCCTTCATTTCTCCCTGGCACAGGCATCGTAGCCTTGCTGGTGGGACCATTCTGTGCTCCAGCCCCTTGTGAGAGGGGGCTCTTTACCCAGACAGGGCTCCCAAGTGCGAGAGCTGCTTTTGGACAGGCTGTGCCCCCGGAAGGAGCCGATTTAGTTGGCTTTTGTTCGATTTTGCCATTTTCTGCCTGGCAAAGTTCAGTCACTTTTGATGGGGGCGGGGCTGGTGGGAGTGGCCTTCCGTCCCGCTTGCTTGCGCAGTTCCTTAATGTTTGCCAAGATCTTTTGGAGAAATCTCGTGCTATCCGCCAAGCCAAGGAGGAACGGACCTTCCACATCTTCTACTACCTCCTGTCTGGGGCTGGAGAGCACCTGAAGAGTGAGTATGGGCCGGCATCCTGGCACGCGGGCTGCGGGCCCTGGTCGGGCCACATGTTCCGCTTGGGAAACGAAAACGCCAGCCTTCCGAGGCCTCGGCCTTCTGACTTGAGCACGCCAGAGAAAAGTCAGGGCGGTCGAGCCTGCCTCTGTGAATCACGGGGCGCTGACGCTCTTGGGGGCTACGTGAATGTCAGTCTCACGCTGGGGAGAGGGCATTCCTGGCTGCTCCGTGGTTCTGGGGGGTACTTCGGGGCTTAGGGGTGCCTCCCATCCTCCCAAACCTCTGAGGCCCCAGTGCTGACTTGAACCCTGGTTACAGCCCCTCACTGACCCTCCTTACAGCCGATCTCCTGTTGGAGCCATACAACAAATACCGCTTCCTGTCCAACGGGCACGTCACCATCCCAGGGCAGCAGGACAAGGACATGTTCCAGGAGACCATGGAGGCCATGAGGATTATGGGCATCCCAGAAGAGGAACAAATGGGTACAAGGCTGGCCCTCCTGTGGGGGAGGGAGGGGAGGCAGGAGGCTGGTCATCGCGCCCTAGGAGGCACGGGGCAGCTGACGGGCCCGGGGAGCGCTTCCTGTTGGCTCTGGCTCTCGGGGAGTCCTGTGGAGGCTAGGAGGAAGGCCTCGAGTGGGCATGAAGCAGTACCTCGTATCTGAGTGTCAGGGTTGTCTGTTCCCAGTGGTACCACAGGCATTTCTGCACAGGAGTACAAAGGACGGGTGCTTACCTGCTCCGGTCCTTGCATTTGCTGAGAGGGGAATATTCCTGCTTCGTCGGAAAGGGGCCAGGATCTTTGCGTTGGTGAAGTGTGGAGCATGCCTGTGTCTTCCTGTTTCCCCAGAAAGAGGGCAAAGAGGCCTTCAGGCTTTGTTTTCGAAAGAGTGGGGGACAGGGAGAACACACCCTGTTCTCTAACGTGAGGGTCGGAGCCACCTTGGCTCAGCGACAGATAATATGCAAACGGTGGGTACAATGTTGTGCGATAAAACTTTACTTATAAAAACAGGCAGTGGGCCCTTGGGCCAGAGGCACGTCCTTGGCCCAGATTTAGAAGTTTTAGGAGTTTTAACAGAGCTTGGATCTAAGCATAGGGCTGCCCAAGCCGAGGTCTGCCCGAGGCCCTGACCGTGAGCCCTGCAGGGGGGCTGTGCCCACCATGTGGCTTGTCCTGTCCACGCCCCCCAGGGAGGGGAGCGGCTGCCTCCACCCAGGGGCTTATTCCAATCCCTGCCTGGTTCTGAGCTGCCTTTGGTTGCACCCCAAGGCTTGCTGAGGGTCATCTCGGGAGTTCTTCAGCTCGGCAACATCGTCTTCAAGAAGGAGCGTAACACCGACCAGGCATCCATGCCTGACAACACAGGTAACACCCGTGGGCGCCTCACCTGGAATGTGGGGCCTGGTGTCTGGGCTTGGATTTGCTCAGGAGAAGTCTGGTAGAAATTCCAGACCGTCCTCCGTTGTTCGTCTCCTGTGTATCTCTGCCTGGCTATCACTTCGGGTTCTTTGTAAACTGTATGTGAACGTGACCCTAGTGCTTTTTCGGGGAGGCGGCATCAGAATGAGTTAGAAAACCCCTTGATCATATGGACCAGGGCTTCCCTCTTTTGTCGTGGAGGCCAAACCAGTTGTCCCAGTTAAAACAGCGATGTCGGCGGCCTCTCCGTCTCAGTGCGCGCCTTACCCGTGAACACGTCAGGACCATGAAACGCCTCGGCCACCGCTGTCCCCCTGAGTCCTGCAAACGGCCCCACTTAAGCGATCAGCCTTAATGTGCCCTTCTGAGGGGCTTCTGAAAAGACTGAACACGTGGGTGTCTGGGCGTAACAGGCGTTTCTGCGGGATGTGTGCCGTTGTGCCCCTTAGCGGGATCGGGGCCGGCTCCTCGCAGTCCTGTCCCTGGGCGGGATGCACTCTTGTACTGTGTGGCTGAGGTTGTGCGAAGGAACCGGTGCTGGGCCCCCAGGTAGGATGGGTGCCTCCTGGCCGCTCGTGGCTGGTGAGGGTGCAGGTCGCCATGGCTGCTGGGTCTAACAGGGGAGCCGAGGACTCCGTGCCCTGCTGCGGAGGGGCCCCGAGCCGGTCGTCCCCGTGATGATTGTTCAGCCACCACCTCGTGCTCCAGCAGAGGGACCCGTTCTCTTGGGGTTAATTAAAACTTCTCTACCTTCCCTTCCTTACTCTTCGGAAAATACCAGCCGCCCAAAAAGTGTCCCATCTCCTGGGGATCAACGTGACAGATTTCACCAGAGGAATCCTCACCCCGCGCATCAAGGTGGGACGGGACTACGTCCAGAAGGCACAGACTAAGGAACAGGTACGCCCTGTGGCCGGGGTGGGGGGAGGAGGAGGTGGGGGGCCTTGGGGGGCGTTCATGCAGGAGGCTCAGACTAAGGAAGAGGTACGCCCCCTGGCTGGGGCGGGGGGGCTTGGGGGGGGTGGGTGTGTGGGGGGGGCGCTTCCTTAGCAGGCTCGTTGCGGTGGCCTCTCTGGGGCCTGCCCTGGGCCACTGTTGTGCCAGGCGCCTGGCCAGGTGCCTCATTCAGCCCTCACCGCAGCTCAGGGAGCAAGGTGGTGTGTACCCTCCGTGAGAACATGAGAAAACTGGCCTCGGGGTGTCTGTGTGCCGCCCGAGGCCCCTCGCTCAGGAAGGATCTTTACTAGTTGCGCCTCTTTGCGCCTGGGCGACGTCGAGGCCAATCGGTCGGCGGGTGCGGAGGCAAGTCCCGTCCTGGTAGAGAGTGAAACGGGAACCTGCTGTGTCTCTAGCACAGCTCGTTCAGGTGCAGGACGGCGGCAGCCGCCCTCCAAGCCCGGGCCCAGAAGCTGGCTCTCCACCGCCTGCTGTCTTGTCGTGCGTGGTGAGAGACGGCAGCGATGTCCCTCAGCCGCAGCCTCCCCCGGGAGCCCAGCTCCCGCCCCGCCAGGCCCCTCTGTCGGCGCGGGTGGTGCCATCTCCCAAAAATGCTCTCAAGTTCGCTCTTCCCTAAGGGTGCCGTCCGCTGTAGCCCCACTCTGGTGGCTCTCTCACCATCACTGGTACAGAGCCATCCCACCACAGCCAAGAACATTGTTCCGAAAAGACCACAGTTGTCACTAACTGTTCATTTCCCTGATAATTAAAAAAAAATTTTTTTTAATGTTTATTTATATTTGAGAGAGAGAGCGTGTGCGCACACGCGAGGGAGGGGCAGGGACACAGAGACAGACTCAGCACGGAGCAGGCTCCAGGCTGCGAACTGCGAGCTGTCAGCACAGAGCCCGACGCGGGGCTCGAACTCACAGGCTGTGAGATCATGACCTGAGCCGGAGTTGGGCGCGCAACCGACTGAACCACCCAGGCACCCCTCTTCTTCTTTTTTTTTTTAATGTTTATTTATTTTGAGAGACAGAGCACATTCACAAGCAGGGAAGGGACACGGACAGAGGGGGACAGAGGATCCAAAGCAGGCTCCGGGCTCCGTGCTGACAGCAGAGGGCCTGATGTGGGGCTAGACCCCACGAGCAGGGAGATTGTGACCTGAGCTGATGTCAGACGCTCAACCAACTGAGCCATGCAGGTGCCCCCATTTCCGTAATCATTAAAGAACCTTTATTTTTCCACGATGAAACTACTGCATGAATACCGCAGATGCTGAAAATATAGAAAAGTCTAGAGCAAAGAAGAAACGATCACAGTCCTAGCCAGTGACAGTTATCGGGCAGCTCTTTATTTCCTGCAAGGCTTTTTTCTTTCTAAAACTTAGCTGTCACCCTGTTCAAGCATTTGCACAATAGAACAGGGTACTGAGCCCCGTGTGCCCATTGCTCGGGCAGCGTCGAGTCACTGACTCCCGGCCAGTCTTGGCTCATCATTAACCTTATTCCCCCATCCCCCCTTCGCACATTATTTGAAGGGAACCTCACACGTCTTATCATTTTTTCTGTAGATACCTCAGTATGTCCCCACTTTTTATTTTATTTTTTATTTTAATGTTTTTTATTATTTATTTTCGAGAGAGAGCATAAGCAGGGGAGGGACAGAGGATCCAAAGCGGGCTCTGCACTGACAGCAGAGAGCCCAGGTGGGGCTCAAACGCACGAACCGTGAGATCATGACTTGAGCTGAAGTCGGGCGCTCAACTGACTGAGCCACCCAGGCGCCCCAATCCCCATCTATTTTAGAAAGGTTTTTGCAAATATCTAAGTACTTGATGCTGTGCCTCATTGCTGGGTACATAGGCTGTTTCAACTTTTGGTTATTATAAATAACATTGTAGTGAACATACTTGTGTGTGAAGCTTTTTTTGCATCCTGGGGGCTGTTTCTCCGGGGCAGATCCCTGCAGGTGAGTTTCCTGGAGCAAAGGGTTACCAGGTTTAAAGGCTCCTGGACCTGACGCTCTGTCCCCCGGGGTGTGTCCCCTCCCTTCCCCCACCAGGCTGACTTTGCCATCGAGGCCTTGGCCAAGGCCACCTATGAGCGAATGTTCCGCTGGCTGGTGCTGCGGATCAACAAGGCTCTGGACAAGACCAAGAGGCAGGGCGCCTCTTTCATCGGGATCCTGGACATCGCTGGCTTCGAGATCTTTGATGTGAGCTCCTCCCTCGTGCCTCCTTGGCCACCTTCTCCCTGGCCGGGCGTCTTCTTTCCTGTGGCCCCAACAGGAATCTGAGCAGGCCACCTCCTGCCTCACATGGAGGCAGGGGACATCAGTGGGGTGTATCTTAAGTTTAAATAAGCATGCCCACCCCCAAGCAGCAGGGCTAGAGAGAGCGGGACCGTGTAGCTGCCCTTCTGTTCGTGGGCAGATGCTTTCTGAGATTTTACTCTTCCAGCAACTATTTATTGGGCGTTGGGATAAAACACCGTCTCTGCCCATGAAGACTGAAGTCTGGTAGGATAAAAATGATAATTACAGTAGATCAGACGTTCTTAACCTGGGGTCCATGGCACATCTCGGAGAGGCCGTGAGCTTTGGGAGGCGGGGGTGGGGAATTATCTCTTTATTTTTCACTAACGTGTCACTGAAGGGATGCATTTCTTTTTTATTGTGAGTTGAGCAACATATCGAAACCACAGTTGCCTGAGCAGCGCTTGGGGTCTGTCTCCGGTGGAAATCAGATGTTTGCACATCACAGCAGTTGCTGTGGGGACGTTGTAACATCATTTATGTTCATCCGCTTCAAAATGTTGCAAGTTAGGACGCCCACAGCCTGTGCTTGTTATGTATGTCATTAGTATGTCACGGTACTTGGGTAATTGCATTTCAACAGGACTTCTTTCCTTCGCAAACTGTTTTATTCATTTTCAAACGTCGTTCTGAGAGAGGTTCTGCTAGGCTGCTAGAAAGGTCCACAGGAGCCCCCGCTCTGGGTTTGAGGAGGGAAGGCGCCCGCCCATCCGGGCTCCCCGGGGCCAGCGCTGAGGTGCTCAACACCCGTCCCCTCCTTCCCGAGGCGCTGCGGCTCTGTGGCGGGCGGGCAGCCCTCTGACGTGGCCTCCTCCTTGCAGCTCAACTCGTTCGAGCAGCTGTGCATCAACTACACCAACGAGAAGCTGCAGCAGCTCTTCAACCACACGATGTTCATCCTGGAGCAGGAGGAGTACCAGCGCGAGGGCATCGAGTGGAACTTCATCGACTTCGGCCTCGACCTGCAGCCCTGCATCGACCTCATCGAGAAGCCGGTAAGAGCCAGACCTCAGGCCCGGCTGGTCCCTCGTCCCCTCACGAGGACACGCCGTGTTAGCCGTGGGGGCTGGGAGGGGGGCGTGTCCGGTTCCTCTCCCTGGCGGTGTCACCTGCAAGAATAAGGTCATGGGCTCAGACCTGCGGCCTGGGACCCTCGCCCAGCTGCCGACCAGGTGGGGATGCGGCTGGTGCTTCGGTCCCAGAAGACCACCCAGTGTTTACCTAAGGGGCGGGCGCGACAAGCCTTTGTCTTAAGGAAACAGGCTTGGTTTTATTTAGGTCGTAACATCCTATCCACGGATGCTTCTGCGGCAGCGTAGGTTGTGCAGACCCAGGGCGTGGAGTGCTGTTCCCCGTACAGGTGCTGAAGCGCCGTCTGCCCCCCTCAGGACTAGCTCAGCACCAGAGCTCCCGCCCCAGAGCGTTGGCTGCTGGTGGATGGTGGTGACCAGAGAGCTGCCCCTCTTCCTTCACTTCAGAGTGAAAGTTCTTGCCAGGTGCCCTTGGGGTCTAGGTTGGACAGGGTGTGCTCTTTAATGGAGTCTGAGCTGTTTCTTTGTCTGTATTCCCTCCTGATGGGGTTAAAGTGCTGAATGAACCCACATCTTCTCGGAGTCCTGGGCTACTGAAAATGTGTAGACCAGAGTTACGCTGAACTGCTAAGTAGTTGGAAAAGCCTAGGAAGAAGTTGGTGCATTTGAAACCACTGGTCAAGGCGGGGAGCAGGGGTTAAAAGACCCCACGATCCTAACGTGAAGCAATTTACTTTTGTGATGAGTTGGGGTTTTTTTGTTTTTTTTGTTTTGTTTTTTTGAATCAGTCGAGTTTTCCAATGAACAAGATCCCATCTGGCTTTGAGTCTTGTCAGCCAGTCTCCATGGTGTTTGAGTCCGCTTTCTGATTTTATCAACTGAGTGTACTTGGGGCTTCCTTGGAGGACTTGACCTAAGTGTTGCATCTCACCACATAGTGGTGCAGACACAGCCTGTGGTGCGGTGTCTCGGGGTGACTCCAGGGGCAGAGGCACCTGTGAGGACAGCCTCTGGGCATGCGGTCATGGCACACGTCCATCAGACCTACCGGGGATTTCCAGTGCACTAGGTTGGAGAAACTCCGTGATGGATCATCTGGCTGAGGTGTGTCAACCACAGACTAGACCCCAGAAGTTTCTTTTTAAATTAGAACGCTTTTTTTTTTTAATGTTTATTTTTGAGAGAGAGAGAGAGAGAGAGAGAGAGAGGAAGGGAGGGAGAGGGGGGAGAAGGGGCAGAGATAGAAGGAGACAGAGGATCCCAAGCGGGCTCTGTGCTGACAGCCAACAGTCTGATACGGGGCTCAAACTCATAAACCGTGAGATCATGACCTGAGCTGAAGTCGGACACTTAACCGGATGAACCACCCAGGCACCCCTAACCTAGAACTCTTGAATCAAGTTTTGCTAATGCTTCTTTTACCCTGAGTGTGAGGGCACACGCTGTCTACCTTCTGTTGAGATTCTGGGGCTTCTGAATACTGACCTTTGCCTTCCCGGGAGGGCAGGGGTAGGGTGCACTCGCCAGGTCAGGCTTCACCTGTGTGATGCTCTGCATTTTCCAGGCTGGTCCCCCTGGCATCCTGGCCCTGCTGGATGAGGAATGCTGGTTCCCCAAAGCCACCGACAAGAGCTTCGTGGAGAAGGTGGTACAGGAGCAGGGCACCCACCCCAAGTTCCAGAAGCCCAAGCAACTGAAGGACAAAGCTGATTTCTGCATCATCCACTACGCAGGCAAGGTGAGGGGAGCACCTGCACGGAAAGGTGCCGGACAGGTGGAGATGCTTCTGTCTAGGCTGAGGAGCTGGGCAGCCCAGGGAGTGGGACGGGGGGTGGGGGGCACTTCTTGTCTAGTGACTCACCCAGCAGTGTGCCTCGACTCTGGAGTTTAAACTAGAACTCTGTCACTCGTTAAGTAGTGTGACTTTGGGCCAGTCAACATCTCTGAGCCTCATCTGGGAAATAAGTAACCGCTGTCGTGCACGGTGACGTGTATTAAATGAGCTTGCGAAGCCTGGTGCTCGGCACAGGTCAGCGCTGTGGGGCAGGGCCACCTCGCCTCTGTGCTCCTGACCTTGTGGGCTGGACCACGTGCGTCGCCCGGGACCGTCATGTGCTTTGTGGGATGTTTAGCAGCACTCCTGGCTTCTGCCCACCAGGGGTCAGCAGCACTCTCCCTAGACGTGACGAAAATGTCTAGGCTTCGCCAAACACGGGGTGGACACGGTCGTCCTGGTTCAGGGCCACCACTGTAGGTGACGGCTTGGTCATCACCGAGCCTGCTCGGCCCCAAAATGGCACAGCTGCCTTCATCCCTAACCGAAGAGGGTACCCCGAGTCCACAGGGGTCTGTTCGTAGAATAAAGCTGGTTGCAGCAAGTTCCGTGTCGCTTGCTTGACGCTCCTAATTAGTCATTGCAGCCCAAGCAGGTGGCGAATCAGGCGAGGAGAGCCACCAGCTTGCATAGCTGACCCTGAGCCACACCTGGTCCCCGCCTGCTGCCCCTGCCCATGGCCCCACGCTGCCTGGCCGCTCCCACTCGGCCCGCCTGGTCCCTACAGCTGCTGAAGCGCGCAGCTCTTGCCTTTAAAAATACTCATTAAAAAACCCTGTGTCTATAGCCGCCTAAGGTAATGTCCCTGAACCTGCATTTCCACCTCTGCCTTTGTTAGAAATGCACGTGCAGTGACGCTCGCCGCGCTCTTGTTTCAGAGTATTATTTATAACGCAAAATAGTGGGCACCCCCGAAAGCCCGCTGGGGCGAGCCTGAGCGACGAAAGTGTCCACGTGTGTCCACGCTTGGGCTGCGGCACCGCAGCTAACGGGACAAGCCTGCCGGCTGTGCCCAAGTGGCCACAACGCCGTCCCTGCGGCTTTTGTCATCTCCCAGGAGGTGACTGTGCTCCTAGGGAACAAGAAGCCAGGGTCACACACCTCATCGCCGGTGCGCGTGTGGGAGAACCTCCAGAAGGGGCCGCGGAGGAGCAGTGGCCCGAGAGCAGGGGTCACCTCTGCGCGGTGCTGTGCATTGGGAAGCGGGAGGCCAAGGTGGCCCACACGCCGTCTGTACTGTTTGGGGAGCTTCACAGTGAAAGTACAGTGGATTGCCCATTCACGTTTTTTGGAAAAGGCAACAATCGTGCAAGCTCAGAGAAAACTCGGGCGTCCTGGAAAAAACAAAATAAGTAAATAGATAGGTAGATAGACCGCAAAAGTCCTTGTTCTTTTGCCAGAAAGAAACACTGGCACACTTTGGTTATGTCCTGCTAGGGTTGTTTTCTTTATGTTTGTATTAGAAAAAAAATAATAATACAGACTGTTCTATGACCTTGGCTGCAACATAGATCTCTTAGTCCCCCGTTGCTGGATGTCCTTGTGCACAGCTTTTCGCCCTCCCGTGTCACGCCGCCCTTGCCACGCCTCAGTTTCTTTCTTGGGGAAGGAAATACCAGCTCAGGGGGTGTTGGCGTTGTTAGGCTTCTCCCCACCCCCTGCGGGGCCGGCTTGTTTTCGGGGCCCGCAGTGAGAGCTGGCATCCCCAGAGCAGCCTGTGACCCGCGTGGCCCCGACCCTTGCAGGTGGATTACAAAGCCGACGAGTGGCTGATGAAGAACATGGACCCCCTGAACGACAACATCGCCACGCTTCTGCACCAGTCCTCCGACAAGTTCGTCTCGGAGCTGTGGAAGGATGGTACGCCCTTTGCGC